ATTTGATTTCTCACAAAGAAAGTGTGATGGAGTGGGGGGAAAAAGAACCCGTGCAAGTCGGGAATGAGCCTGGATCCTAACGAGTGTGTGATTTAGTATTTATGTGTTTTTGTTGTTGTTTTTTTCCCAGGGGAGGAGGTGAGAGCCGAGTTCTTCATGGAGGAGCTGAATAACGGCGTCAGGCTCTGCCGGCTTATCGGCGTCCTGCAGGACAAAATTGCCCTGAGCTGCCCGTCAGCGCTCGGAAAGGTGGGTCGGAGCGCCGCCCTTTCCAAAAGGCTGGGGAGATACCGGAGCCGGTTTGGGCTCGTCCCCAAGTGTAGTATTTGAAGTATTTTATTAGCTAAAATCCTTTTCTTCATTTATAAAAGTGTCCACAATTTGTGGGAATGTACCTCTGCAATAATCTGACTTCTCATAAGCAAAGAATGTCCTATCTGTTCATACACAGGACAGGTCAGTCAGGTTTCCATGGTGATCCGCCATTTTGAAAAACTATAATCACAGAGAGGGACATAAAGCACTAACCTGCCTGTGTCACGTGACTGAAATTTCTTCTAAATTAATGTTTTAAATTAAGTAAATGCTTTATTTTTATTTTTTTAATGACGAGCCTCATCGCCCGAGAGAAAACTGGGATGATGTGGAAGTCCTGATGTCATTCCTTCTTGACTCATAGCGGCTACTGTAGCTGCAATACCCATTTGAAAAGGCGAGGCACCATTTGTTAGAATGGCAAATACAATTTCACGGTCAGATGGGAGAAATTCCTACAGCGTGTAGCTTTAACGATCAAAGGACACTAAACAAGCTCCTCACAAAAACGCCCCAGACTCGGGATTTTAGGGTGATGGGTGTTTTAAAATGTTTGAAACTTTTCCTGGATCTTTTTATCCCGCCCGCAGCTCTTTCCTACCAGAAAGGTGGCCTGTAAGCGGGACGCCTCCCCCGGCTCCTTCTTCGCCCGGGACAACACGGCCAACTTCCTGGCCTGGTGTCGGCACATCGGCGTGGAGGAGACCTACCTGTTTGAGTCGGAGGGCCTCGGTAAGGAACTGCAACTGTAGCCACGTCCCTTCTTTTGTGTGTGTGTGTGGGAGGGGTTTGCCATTGAAATAGTCAAATTCTGTAAATTCTTTCACCTAAAAACATGTTCTATGAATCCCACCCAATCCTTAGAGGTTTTAGAAAGGGGATAATTAGTATTATTATTTTTTCAAAATGACGCAGCCACTTTTCTTTTAGCCAAGGCGATTATAGAGAACTATGTGGCCAAACATTTTCCTACGCCACTCTTGCATAGTAAAAAAAAAAGGATCCGGAATAAATACGATTTTTTTTCTTTCCTGACTTGTACGTCTTTTTATTTTAGTCTGCCATCCGTCTACAAGATCTACATTGTTCACCGATACTGTTGGTTTTCGTATTGAGGATGCTAAAGAGATCAATCTAACGGGATCTAAGCCATAAGCTGCCAATTAAACAAATCTGAGGAGCGGAGTCTTAATTAAACTCCACCTCTTAGTGTTTTAATCGGATTTGATGAGGTGCACCATCACCCTGAGTGCTCTCTGTGTGGGATCCCTTCATTCTGTTCTAACGAATTTTCTTTGGAACGCTGGACTGGGACCAGTCAAAAAGCATCCGTTCTTTCCATGCAAACCGAATGCAAAAGATATCTATAATGGCAATTACCACGTGGTGGCATGGTTTACCAGTTTAAAAAAAAAATCATTTATAGATTGAATTCTTGAATAAGTCGCCCTTAGTTCAATGTCCAATATGGCCGAAATGCATTTTTTTGTCTCTTTTAAATTGAAGTTGTGAAATATTTGTTAAAAGTTTAATTTGTTTAGTTTTTTTGTCTGCATAAATCGCCCTCTTATGTTTTTTTTTTCTATTTTTAGATTGAAACTGAAATATTCGATTCTATTTTTTTTTTGTTTTTTTATTTGTCTTTGTTGAATCCCCCTCTTAGTGATAACTCAAACGTGGTCAAAATGTCAGGTTTTTAAGTTTGACATGTGATCTGTTGGCTGTATGATGTCCCAAAGTGCCCCCCCGACCCCCCCTCTCGTTATTCTGCCGCTAACGGTCAGGCTGATGACCGCTGTGCTTTTCTGCTCCAGTGCTGCATAAGGAGCCCCGGCAGGTTTGTCTCTGTCTGCTGGAAATCGGCCGCATCGTCTCAAAGTAAGTCTCCGGCTCAGAAGCGGCCCCCGGAACGGCGCCGAGGGGCCGGCCTG